TTTATATAAATTATTGATTGTTTCTATGTAGTTTTCATTGTTTTCATTTTCGAATATTCTTTGAAAATTAGTATACAAATTACATTTACATACCCACAAAATCAACAAAATAATAAACTTTGAGCCCCCATAACTTTTTATGGGGGTGTGACCGCCGCGAACTTTTTATGGTGGTTTACTCAGGAAGATCTCCTCCTTCAATCCCCCCTTTCGGGGGAACATACCTTCGTTAACTGCTTTTTAATTTCTTTTAAATAGCCAATATTTTACTACACAGGCCAGCATTTTTACGAGTATGTTATATTTATGTAAAGGGTCTTGTTATCTGCGATTTTTATTTAACACATTAACTTTTTAAAGTCATGTAATCTTTAAAAATCTTTAAAATTATGTTCTCTAAATGTTCCATTGTATTCAAAATGTCTGCTCTGCCAGAACAATGTCCGATTAGAATATAAAGATTCCCAGCTCGTTGGTAGGGTTCACACAGCCCATACATACATATATAATTGTTTTTATTATTACCTTTACCTACCTTCCGTTTCAAGTCACAAGTCGAGTCTTCTGTATAAAAGGGCGTTAAAGGTTCAGCTACCTAAAAGGTTCATGGTCACGTTTTTTTTTTTTTTTTATATAACATGTTACCATCATGTGCATTGTGAGAAACGAATGTGAAGTTAATTGTAACCAAATTTAATAATGTTTTTGTAATTTGATTGTAAATTTTCAGGCAGCTGTAGGTACATTTTTTTACATCACACACTTTCGTTTTGCATCTCTCTTGGTAATCTTCACAGTTTCGTTCATAAAACTGTTAATGCATCATCTGCCTATCTCCGAGCTTATGAAGAAAAAAGTTTTCTGGTCCATCTGGTTCGTGTAACTTAAAATTGGCTGGCTTGGCGTCATATCTTAAAAAAAAAAACGAAAGTTGGATGCAATATCAACTGCCTCTTTATCTATTAAACATCTTGAGCTTATGATATTGTATCTTCAGGTTAAGAGATGGGCGTTAAAATTAATGTGTCGCAGACTAGGGATGTGTAAAAAAAACATATATTATATGGGAGAAAGGGATGAAGTATTAACCAAATTTGTATACAAGGTCTTTCCAATCAAATTTTATTAAAAACTAACCGCTTGAGGGTCTTCCGTATCTTAAAAAATATGCGAACGTTTTTCTTATGATTTCACACTTTTTTGGTTTTGAATTTTTTCCCTCGACGGAAAAACTAATTCATCTTGAAGCCCCCGAAGAGTGCGATACAAAAAAATTTTTATTTAACTAAAAATACCTACCACACGTGTTAATTAATTTAACGAGTGCNTATAATAAATTAAAAAAAATTTAATTAGGTTTGCAAGGATTTAAAATTTGAACACTCTGTACATACTTTTTTGAGTGGGTATGATAGACTTCTACAGTATTGACAGTTCAGCTGTTTGATCGCAGATGGTAGCACAGTTCACTTATTGTCATTTTTAAAGTTAAATGCTTCAGCCCTCCCTACTTTTGAACGCTTTGCTTTGTTTTGTATGTGGTATGCATTCGCGGTGGTTGGATCGTCGTGCTGTCTTAACTAAAGTTGTTAGTAGACGTATACTTTTATTTACGTGGTGCGTGATTTGACCGAAAAAGGGAAGGCGCTAGGTCGCCTACCCTAGTAGTTTTATGTTGTGGGGGCCCTTAAAATGGCGGATGTAGTGCCAATGATTTTTTTATATCTCTTTTGTGTCGTTGATCACATCTTAATAGCATCATCAGAAAAAGGTAAACCTTGTTTTTCGTATGTCATCTTTATTACACTCATTTGCATATCTCTTATATATTTTTTTTAATTTACTAAACGACGATTTCGATTATAATGTGCATTAACTACAAAAAGGGTGGCTCTTAACGTAGAGCGTTTGGTGTTTATTTTCGGACATATAAACACATGTGGAGAGTACTGGTTTTCAAAAGTATGTCTTAACGGTGTCGCTTAGATCCTGTTTGCTTTTTTAATTCAACATTTTATATAAAAAAGTTTGCATCTTTACAATTACTATTGCTGTACATGTATACTTTGATTATCATACAGGGTGTATTGAATAATTTTTGAAACTTCCTATAGACGTCAGCTGTTATTTTATTTATACTGTGCTGTTCTTTTTTCTTTGTCTTCAAATAATTATTTTTACAAGGTTAATTGACAATACATATTTATTAAAAGTTTATTAATGTCAATGTAAACATTTCACATTGATTTTCTTGCAGTAATAATTACAGTCATGTAAGCAATTTTTTTAATTTTTGTTTATGTTCCATATCTTTAGTGTTATCGTTAGATTTTGTTTAACGTTGACATCTAGCACGTGTACAAAATAAACTTGTTTAGCTGCTCAATAAAAAAATGTGCAAGATGCGTTTTATAGGTACCCATTTTAGGTACCCCTGAACTGGGTAATTTTTATGGGGATTGGGGTGTTATTTAGTTTACCCTTTCAAATTGTAATAAATACATATTATATGTACTGTATCTTGAAAAGAAATCGTGGCATACGGATTTAAATTACATTTGATTGTTATATAAACACTAAAAGGGTGTTTTGTTGAACAGACCGGATTTCCGGTTTTCATTTGCATTTATGTGTAAATTTGTATTTACTTATTGTACGCAGAATATGCTATGTTGTCTAGATATTTTCTAGCACTATAAAAGTGCATTATTTCTAAGTAATTAAGTTTCTTGATAGGCTTATGAACAAATGTTTGTTAAGTTTTTTTGAGTTTGTTTAGTCAGGAACTAATTCTAAAGTTGTGTAATATCAACAGTATCTTTTTTGTTTCGTTACCAAATTCAGAACTGGTATTAGTAGTAGGAAATGTTTTATAAGTTTACATAATCTTCATCAGACTTTAGTAAGTTGACCAAAAATTTATACTGTTTAAGTCCCAATTTTTGTATACACACTTAGTAGATGTGTTTTTGTTTTAAAACTTAAAGCAGGTTAAATTACAGAATTTAGGTATTAGGTATTATATTATTTCTCTTTCACTTACTTACAATTAATTTGTCGAGACTGTTTGACCAGACACATTTGAATAATTACTATTTTACGTTTATTTAATCGTGATAATAAAAAACTCTTCGTCCCTGGGCATTATTTTATTATGGGTTTTAACTGTGAGTGAAACAATTAGAAAGTATATTTTTTTAAAACTTTTGAATTTTTGCTGTAATTGATTTTTAAAAGCTAAAAAAGATTTATACCTACTTGTTGGAATTTAATGTCAAATTCCTTAGTAAAATATTAATTATTTACCATAATTATTACGCATTTAAATATATTGTGTTTTAAAATATTTCTGTTTCCTTAATGATGAAATTATGAATTTTAAACTTACAAAATGATAATAAATTTAGAAGAATTGTAGAAGTACGTAGTTGTTCATGATACTACAATTTGATAAACTTTATTGTAAACACCAAAAAAAGCTCCAAACACTAATCCCAAAGCCCTTAGACATACCCTAACTATTCGTCCATGAAGGACGTGAATTACAGCGTTTTCAAACCCTGAATAGACCGGAAGCAAATTTTCAAACAGAAAGCCCTAAGGCTGAAAATACGAATGCTTTGTATATTTTGTAGGTAAACATTTGTTTATCCCAGAAAATTTTTATTTGATACTAGGTATCTGCTGTCTACGTAATAAAACGATTTAGAACTCTATCAAGTAAACAGTAAATGTTGATATCGTGTGTACTAGATAGCTGACTTACCCTATTGAAGGTCGACAACCTACAAAGTAAATTACATACATAATAGAACTTGTACATATCTTAATCACGTAATTAAGTATGATCTACCTTCTCATTTTGTTAATTAAGCCAATGTACAAAGAAAAGGGCCCTTCGCGGTCAGTAAAAATGCTACAGAAGAAACATGACATATCCTATTATAACGTCTGTTATGCCATGGTAATTATGAAAGTCTCATTTTATTTAACGTATTTTTCGATCTTTTAGTAAAAATTAAAATTATAGCAAAAATTCGTACTTGATTCAATGTTCCATATTTGATGCGAAAGATTGGTAAATAAACAAACCAAAAAGGGACTCATCTAGTTATCACAAAATCTGTTCAAAAGGACTCGTGTTTCATCCTTTTCTAATGTGAGCATTATCCAGTCTCGCGTCATTAATGTCCATATTAGATGTGGCCAAATGCGAGTCCTTTTGAACAGATTTTGTGGTAACTGTACGATGTGTCTCTTTTTGGTTTATATACGTGATAGAAAGAGACTTATCTTATAGTTATCACAAAACCTGTTCAAAAGGATTCGTGTTTCTCCACATTAGAAGAGGACGAAACACGAGTCCTTTTGAGAAGGTTTGTGGTGACTAGGGTGTCTTTTTTGGTTGATAAATACAGTTACATATACGTTTTAAATTTAGAAGATTTTCTGTCAAAAATACCAATAAATCAATGTGTTTATGCATATGTAGTTCTCTGTGTACTGTGTACATTATTCTTTTGTGTTTCCTTGAGACGTTGCCCGGTGAATAAAAAGCAGTTCAACCCTTTGGTTTTTTTTTTATTGTTATCCACTGACGTACTTTCATTTTAAATATCTACAACAGCTGTACAACGTAATGAGACGTGCTGTAGATATTTCCGAGCGTTTTTCACGCTGTACTTATAAATGCGGTTGAATGACGTATTTTGAACCGGATATGGCTTTGTTTTTAGAACCTTTCAAACATGGTTTAAGCGTGTAAGTACTTCAGCAACCGTTCTTTGCTAACTGATACATATCCATTATGTTCTCGGCGACTTTATAAAACTTTTTATTTTTACATCAGGCGTTTGTGGTGCAACTCTTGTATATGGTCTGTATTGTGTATATCTCACCTGTATGGTATAAAAATTCGGTGTCACTTAGGTAAAAGTGTACGTGTCTGTTAACCATGTGTTATTAATTAAGCTTTGTTAGCAAAAGAATGCATTTACAACCGACCTAAATAATAATCGTACGGTTTTGCTTGTGTATTAGCTGACTATAGTTTACTTTGGGAAAGCGTACTTATTGTTTATCCTGGGTTCACTTAAGGGTTTCCTATTGGAATTATGAATTGCCACTTCTCGTGGATCATAAAGTTGTTAAAGTCTATTGTGACAATTAAGTCACTGTCCGTTTTATTAGATTAGTGCCTTATTCTTGACAAGAATCGAACGTTTTTTCAATTAAAGTCTTCATTGGGTTTTAGTATTTTGTGCTTGAAAATGTACTTCTGATCTTTCCAGGGTTTGAAGCATTTTCAAGGTACTTTGGGATTTGAATTTAATTTCATTCGAAGTAATTGGTGATCCAAAGTTCTGGGATTTTGAAATAAAATGGGTTTTTAGAGGCTTTGAGCTTAGGACTTGAAGCTTTATAGGTGAGGGCTTGGTCTGGCTCTGGGCTAGTTATTGTGGAGGTACCTTAGGGCATTTGCGGAAATTGGAACAAGAATGAAATACAATTTGGTAAAATCTCTAAACAGAATGGTTTTGTTGTTATTAAAATAGATTGCAGACATTAAACATTCAGTGGAACTGTTCCAAAGGAACGTCACAGTTAATTGTAGATATAATTTTTTTTAACTTGTATGAAAATTTTTAGACATAATTCGGAGTTTACCGTTTTTGCTTTCTTTTGTACGAATGCCTGGAATATAAATGAGTGTAAAAAAGCTGTTTCTAGAGCAAACAGTAAATCGGTATCTTTTGAATGGTGTAACGATTAATACGTATCAAAATAAGTGAAATATGAGAACAGTTTGTTTAAATCAGTGATCGACCTAATGTGTCATTAGACAGACAATCCTTCTTTTATCTTGTTAAATAAAGAACGTGTCAAGGTTTTTAAATTATGCAGAAATGCTATGCTCTACTTACGACAATTATACAACACAGACGTAAAAGGATTTGCTTTCAATATTAACTCAATGCGATATAATTGCTTATCGTCTGTTAAACAAAGCGAAACCCGTTGGCGTTTTGAAAATGAGGATTTTGCGGTCGCTTTTGTTTACCTACCAAAATCATTTTAAAATTGCGATTAAAAAGTAGCTAGTGTGTTTTGAAACACTTCTAAGCAACAGAAAAATTATTTTATTTTTAACTAAATCATAAACGAATTCACGAGCTTTTATTTTATATTAAACTTCAGGGAGAGTCGATTGAAAGCTCGCGTTTGCTTTTACACCAGTAATAAAATCAGAAGCTTCTTCTGCGAAATGTTGTAAATTGCAGCTTTCAAAAGTAGTTTTTCTAGTAACAGGTGGCTTTGCACTTTAATAAACAGCTGCCTTCGGGCAGGGGATGAAATATCTAGATTTACAGGTAAAGGTGGTTGTTAGAGATGGGCGGCAGATTTCAGACACATCTGCTGTTGGTAGTAGAAAATTTGTTTTAGTTTGAACATCTGCTGCTACAACTTCTTTTGCTCTTATTTAATTAGAAGCAGAACTGAAGTGAACGAATTCAACAATTAGTTCTTTTGTTAGTCACAGGCACAGAGTATAAATTATTATCATTAACATTACTATTTTTGTTCATGACAATATCTAGGAATCGTTTATTGTAAGATAACAAAAGTTTTTATTC